CTTTGTCTGAGAGGCAGTTGGCTAAAATTTTTTCCCAATTCATGGGTTTGTTTTTAATTCCTTGGTGATTTCTTTAGATGTGCAAAAACTTTTCAATAAGATTAGATCCCAGGCATTGGTTCTTTGAAGTATTTCCCATGCAGTTTGGTTTTTGTTCATGAACTCTCTGCCTACCCCAATGTCTCCAAGATTTTTACCTACTTTCTCTTCCAATTAGAGTCAAAAGACTTTAATCCCAGTCCCAGAAATAATACTTTATTAGTTATATGACATTAGTAGCTTTTAATCTTTCTGAACCCTAGTTCCCCCTTTCAACTCACCCCACTCTTGTTTTCTCATATGCAGGTTGGGGATAATATTTACCTTGTGTCAACGATGGTTTTGAGGATCAAAGAAGGTAAAGCATCTAAAGGATATTTTTTAAACTCTAAAGCACTGTACAAACGTAGGTAGCACTATTCGTTATGTCAGGCTTAAGAACCAAAGATTGCTGGTTTAGATTTCATTTCTGTCTCTAATCCAAGCCATGTGATCTAAGTGAAGGCATTAACTTACTGAACCTCATTATCTCCATTTTTAGAGTGAAGCAGCTCAGTCTTTTAACATGCTGTGATCAAACAATTGTAATTTCCTCTATATATGATTGGCAAATAACAAAACTGATAAAAATGTGAAACATTTATGATTTTTTCAAGCAAAGTGATCACCAGTGCCATGGAGTAAATTATTTTATGTTGTTGCTTTGTTTTGTCACTTAGTACTTGCATAAATTTTTTGCACAAATAAATAATTAAAATAATGAGTATTGAACCCAGAGACTTTGCACTGAGATATATCTTCAGCCCCTTTTGTAGTTTTTATTTTGAGATAGGGTTGCACTAAGTCACTTACTTGCTCAGGCTGGGTTCGAACCTGCAATTCTTCTGCCTTGGCATCCTAGAATACTGGGATTACAGATGTATACCATCAGCAATACATGGTTTTAATTCCTCCTGTTTTCTGTAATTATAGAAATTGTATACTAAATCCCATTACCTTATGTGGAAAGAATAAATTATTCTTTGCATTATTTTCCAAACATAAACAAATATGTATTTTAGGGTGCTCTTGAAATAAGTAAAATAATTTTGTACTAAGAAGATAAACATACTCTAATTAGTATTTCATTTAAGTAGTAATAACATAAATTTTATATATATATATATATATATATATATATATATATACACACACACACACAGCACACACTTTCATGTTTACTCCTAAAGGTAAACTTCTAGATGGAGGTTCTTAAGATAAACTGAACATGAGAAATATTTCACAAATGGCAAAGAAAAGGGATGCATGGGGGAGAATACAGAAATTTGGAAACTAGACTGAAGGTAGGAGGGGAAGCACTCATTCCATTAAGTATTCTTTTCAAAATGTCAGTCATCTACTATGTGCTATATACGTATTGGATACTAGGAAGACAAAAATGAATAAATTTCTGTACTCAAAGGTTTCAGTATTGTTGAAAAGGTACTTCTGTATAAAGATATATTATAAATTGATGTTAAGTGCTGTGCTGCAGAAATGCAGAGGTTACCAAAGGAACAGACAAAAAAATACCTGTCTCAAACTTAAGGGTCAAGTAAAGCTTCCTAAGGGAAATGATCATCGGAGCTGAATTTAAAGTGTGAAGTAGGAGTGGTTGACATTACAAGAGAGTGGAACGTACTCTAGGAGAAAGGAAAAAATTATGAAAGTCTGCAGATTTGTGAAAAACAGTAAGAACAATTATTCCAGTGATTTGTGTTATTCAGATACTTAGAGTGTGAAGGAAGAAGTAGCAATGGATGAAGCTGAAGACATAAGAGGGAACTAGATTTTGAAAGGACTTGATATGCCAAAGTAAGAAGTTTGCTTTATCCTGAAGTTGATGGCGATCCATCAAAAGAAATTAAGCAAAACAATGCCATGATAATCTGTTTCGTTTTGCTTTAGGTAGACAAATCTAATGAACAAGGAATCTAGATAAATAGTAAATAATAAAAACATGTGGGTTACACACTTAGAGTCCCAGCTATTCAGGAGGCTGAGGTAGGAGTACTGTACTCCTTGAGGTCAGGAGCTCATGACCAACATGGGCATCATAATGAGACACTATGAGGAAAAAAGAAAAGGAAAAGGGAAAGGGACAAAGAAAGAAGCAGAAGGAGAAGAATGAGGTTTTGAAATACAGTAGTGAAAGTAGAGGGGGAAAGGAACACATTCAAGAATTATTTATAGCGTATAAGATGGGAGAGTTGGTGAATGACTATGTGTGAGGATGGGGGGATGAGACATAGGAAAAACTTTAGATTTTGAGCTTTAGGGAATAGAAAGATGAGAATGCAATTTAATAAAACTAGGTATAGGGGAGGAAGAGAAGGTAAAGAGTTAAGGCTATGCATTCAGCTTTAGCCCAACAAAATTTAAGGTGGCTTTAAAATTTACAAACATGTTTAATAAACAGTGGGATAACTGGGCTGGAAACATTTAGGCATAAAGTACCAAATGTGACAACAAAACCCCAAGGATAGAGTCCTGAGAAGTACCATTGTTTAAGGAATAAATAGAAAAGGAAGAGCACCCGATGAAGACTGAAAAGAATTGACTATAGTGAGAATCACTAACGTAAAAATAGTGATGTCACAGAGACAAGAATTTCCAGAAGGAAATGATCATCAGTGTCAAAAGCTGCAGATGTTCACCAAAGATAAAGATAGAAAAGTTCCCATTAGATTTAACAACGATTTAGAGATAACTTTAGTGAATATTTCAACTTCAGTAGAGTGAAGAGAATGGACTCAAACTGCAATAGGCTGATGAATCAGTAAGTGAGGGATCTCTACATTCTTTCCTTTTGGCAGCACCACATGTATTTCTTTTTGGAGCCCATGGCGAATGTTAAAGTGTACCTGCATTCCCATTATACAGTTTCTCATCATAGCATCTATTAAAGGACTTTAAGCGAAACAAGTGAGTAGAGGAAATAAATGCACATTATTCTTCTGACTTGCTGTGGTTTGAAGATGAGAGAAATAATAACTGAAAGGACAGTTAGCTCAATGTAGAATTGGATTTGAGGAACTCTCTCTCTCTCTCTGTGTGTCTCTGTCTCTCTGTCTCTCTCCCTTTCTGTCTCTCTCTGTCTCTTTCCTCCTTAGTCTTTTTTTCAACCTCCAGTAATCATCAGTCTACTCACTCCTTCTATGAGAGCAACATCTTTAGATTCTGCACATGATTGAGATCATTTAGAGCTTGTCTTTTTCTGCCTGGCTAATTTCATGCAATATGATTTCCTCTAGGCTTATCAGTGTGCATCAAATTACAGTAATTCATCAGTTGTCATTTAAGAATTCTTGCCAGTTACTAGCTCCATTGGTTTCTATTCCAGGTAACTTTCCAAGAGTCACACGGTTAATAAGCAGCAGAGATGGAGTAAATGTTTTGTTCTTTTAAAATTGTATGTTTGGTCACATCTAGATCAGGCTGATAAATTCTTCCTGTTAAAACATTAATTTTACCAAATTATTTAAGTACACTTATCTATTCAAATATGATGATACTTCAATTGAAATTCACACTAAATTTTCCATTGTATAATTATTTCTAAACTTAGGATCCATTGTTAACATTCTTGGATTTAATTTTGCTTTGTTCCATTCCTCAGATTATCAGGATAGTAGCTATGTACTGTGTATATTAAAAATATAGGGGCTGGGGATTTAGCTCAGTGGCAAAAGTGCCTGCCTGGCAAGCGCAAGGTCGTGAGTTCGGTTCCCGGTACCAGAGAAAAACCAAAAAATAAAAAATAAAAAAAAAAATTAAAAAAAAATAAAAATATAAAACATTTACTTTATATTCCCAAAATGTTTTAAAAAGTTATTTTAGTTGATCCATATTACTGTCCCTTTTCATTAACATGACATACAACTTATAATACTTTTGGCTGTAAATAATTAATTGATTTAATTAATTTAAAATAGCTTAAACAATAGAAGTTTATTAATAAATCTCACATAACAAAAAGTCTGAGGTTCATCAATCCCACAGTTGATTTGTGAGTTCATTGAGGTTCTCTGGATTTTTTACATTTGTCTCTACTTTGCAACCTCCAAGGTATTAAGATTGCTGTACTCATGATGACAAGAGGTTGGCAGCTATTCTGTTGTCATATCCGGGCACAGCTTTATGCAAAGCAGAAAGAAATGGAGCTGCAAAGACAAGCAGGCTTTTTCTTTTAATCTGGGAGGAAAATATTCTGAGAATCCCTGTCAGACTTCCTCTTGTGTCTCACGTGTTAGAATTATACCATATAACCACTCTTTGTCTCAGGGCAGGCTGAAGTAGCAATAACTGGCACTTCCAACTTCTGTTGGGGAAGGAAGGGTATTATTTGGCCTGCTGAGGAGCAATTTATTGTTAGATATGTTACCACCATTTTGTGCTTCACATAGATAAGTTTTAGCTAGCCTTAGTGTCTTAGGATGTTGATGAAAATGGAGATATTAATTAGATCCATGATAAATGTTATATGTAAGCTGTAAATGTTCCCTTCCCATGACTTGACTCTCTGAAAGACTTACCTGTGCTGTGTTTCTAAAGTTTCACCTTATGGCACAATGGCTAAGTGATCCACAAAGAATTTGGCCCCTGTTGGCTGGACCCTTCAGGCAATTAGGTTTTGGTTTAAAGAGAAATGGGTATTTCTGACAAAGCTGAAAGATGACTGCTTCCAGAGGGATACCCATCACCAGAACATTTTAAGTACAGCACTTCCGTGGTAACAATAATCTATAAATTTTGAACGAAGTAAAACTAAGATTCATGACAAAAGTCAGTGGAATTTTGTAGAAAATGCATGTAGAAGTTAGAGTTATACTCTGTGATTTATAATAGTTTGAATATTATTTCTTGCTAAGTGTTCAAATAGACTTGGATTTTACCATAATAGAATGTACTAAATAACATTTGCTCACTTTTAAAAAATAAGCATGCATATTTTTATATCATAGTAATACCTTTAAGTACATATTTTACTTCTATGGTATTATAAAACCAATTTTTTTTTTAAAAAATGAAACAGATTATTGAAAAATAATAAATTATACTGCATCAGGGTGGGCCAAGTAGATAAAAAATTAACTGTATTAAAAGGTGGTATGAAAGTTCAACCTGGAACTCTAATGACACTTCCATTTTGTGGGTAGCCAGAAAGAAGAAGAGAAAAAAGTATAATAACAGATACAGTCCAAGCAGGAAATAGTACATAAAATATAGTTGCTGTGAGTGGGGGAAATGGTGAATTTTAAGATATACAGTGGGGAATAAGGTTAACCATAACTTGTTCAGATGACCTTGGTGGAAAATATTTTGCAGATATGACCAGTGTAACATGTCTTGCTATTTGGGCGCTTTGGGGCAGAGGGGGAGATAGAGAATATTCTAATGAGTGTTTGCTGTCCCGATTGGATTAATTTCCATTTGTTGCTCTGCTTACCACTTCTCTTTCTATTTTCTCTTCCCGGAAACTCTCCTTCTGTTTCTTTCTTCTCTCTTCTACTTCCTGTTTTTAAACTTATTTCATACCTTTTGCTTGGCAATGACACTAAATATTGTACTTAGATTATTGCTTAGCAATGAAATAGTGGTAAGGTCAAAGATCTCTGATTCTGAACAGGGCTGAAAACTGCATTCATAGCAATGTGTTCCGAAGATTTTTCTTTGGCAAATAATAATTATGAAACCTAGCACAAAGATGAATATATAGTTCTAGGAAATAACATACAGCTATGAATAAATTTAAGCAGTATGTAAATAGTAGATAAATCACATATGTTCTATATATCAGAAGTGTGGATATGGGGAATCAACACATTTACAACCAAAAAAGTTGAATATTAATTGACACAGGTTGAAGGGAAAAGTTCAAACCTGTGCTCACTTACCTCGTATATAAACCACTCGCAATCCTCTGTTAACTGACTGCCTCACGATTGTAGGAGTCTTTAAGTTCAGTTGTCAGGATTGCTTAGGTTTCTGCCGTATTCTCAGAATGGTGGACTGCATGTTTTTACTGACTCGAATTCTCTTCATCTGCTGCTGCTTTCTAACTGTATACTGCACACAACGTAAGAAATTTTTATTGCTTTATTTCTATAGATTGAAGATATTAAGAGTTAATTAGATTCAAATTAGAGAGGGAAGAAATGCTGGTGTAGTTGGCAAACATATGCAACGAGCAAAGGTTCTATTGTTAAAAAATTCACAAACCTGAAAGTATCTGATTTTCAGAATGTGTTTATTTTTGAAAGGGATTTTTTTTTCTTGAAGCTAACATGTTTGATACAAACAAAATATAAAAAAAACTATGGACTTCTAAAATTTTTCCTTGTGCTGATATGGTGCTTATTTTAGGCTATTTATATTTGATACTTTGTTCTCAGACTGTATAAACATTGCATTTTATTTTTCAGAAAAGTTTTAATCTTCAGTGTGTTCAATACAAATATGTATTTGCTTTATATAAAATCATGTGAATCCCTATAAAAGAGATAGGTAAAGAAATTGATAAAATCACATCTGTCTATGAAACAGAGCCTAAAGTCTTTGCCAAGCCAAGAATTACAATTCTTTTTTCTATACATAACCTGTTGAAAAACAGTAAAATTCCCTAAACAATGCCATTTGACCCAATAATTTTGGAGAAGAATCTTTGTAACGTTGAGTAATTAGATGATCAATGGAGCATTTTGCTCAGCTGAAGTTGTTTTCATATTCAAAAATTATGGTAAAGTTTTTAAATGTTCTCACTTACAAATTCCATTATGTTTCTGATTGTACTCTGTTATTCATTTTGGCAGTATATTTACTTAGCAAATCAGTGTTTCAAATTTAACCTTAGGAAAAAATATGCTCTACAAAGGGCAAATGGCTTCCTCTGGATTCTACAGACCTGATCTTATCAGAGACATTTCTGCTTCTTCTCTGCAATCCTCAGTACCAGATACTCAGATATTTGGAAGCCTGGGATTCAAACAATCTAAAATCTCGTTCCATGGAAGTTCCACTTTGCATTTAGGTTAGCAGAGGCTCAAAATAATTCACATTTTCATGGAATTATAGTTTCTGTGTATATTTAAAGGGCCTATTGCTCATAGAAAACTTTCTTTCTCATTGCTTTTAAGACCATAGAAAAAATTTTCTCAGTACATACTGGGGAGGGCATAGTACAGTCGTATCATTGGCAGAATAGCTCTTTGTGGTGATCTTGGAAATATTAAAAAAAAAAGTCACTAAGAGTTAGGACTAAAGTGCCTGCTACTCCCAGTCTCTATTATTAGGGTGACTAATCTTCCTAAGTCTGTGCTCTTTGGGAGTGAAGTACACTATTAACTTTCCCGGGATAATAAGTATAAACCAAAGCTGTCTTTGAAAACCATTATGCATGATGACCCTATCCTTTGGTATATTGTTTTGTCTTTCCTTAGACAGAATATGAAATTCAAATTTAATCCAAAAGAATTTTACTTCAAACATTAGATGTTCTTTTGGTCATAATGCTATATATTGACTTCTTTAAAGCCATGTACGAAAATGATCATTGTAAATAATGGAAAGAAAATATGTGGATATATTCATCTTGGTTTTTGATGAGATTTGAACATAGAATTAGTACAAAGTTATTTTTATTTTCCTCTTTTAAGATTTTTTAACGTAAACAGTTTTTCTAACATGCAGGACTTTTGACATATACAGTATGCAAGTTTGAAACATATGTTCTATCCTGTTGAGGGAACTTTTGTACTTTTAAATTTACAGCCAACTGTACATCTGTGGCCAATTTTGATGACTGCCCAGGAAACGTAACAGATTTCTGCCCAGAGAGTATTGTTTGTGCATGCAAAGATGGAGAGCCTTTTTGCAAGTAAGTGGTTATATATGGTTTAGAACATAGCAAACATAATATATTGTAAGTAATAATTCATGTTTTGTTTGCTATATTTGATAATGTAATAATTATTTTAATTAGAAATGACTCCTGTGTACATTCAAGAGTTGCTGTGGTCCTTTAAAAATACCATAATCTATTGTTTTAAAAATAAGATACCTATAAAATTTTTTTTAAAAATTAAAAATATTTATAAAAAATTAAAACTATGATGATTTATATTGACTTTATGGATTAGTGTCATTCAAAACTGCTTCCCAAAGTCTTTTACAACAAAGTTACATATATTAATAAACTTTTTAAAAATTAATTTTATTTTTACATTTTAGATATACATAATAACATTCATCAGGTAGAATTTGTACCTGTACATGATACATCTTGCTTCTTTTTTTCCCATTTCCTTCCTCTTCTTTCAACTTCTCTTCCCCTCCTTGCTTACAAAAGCTTTGTTTCCAGTTTTTCCTTCTAGGCTTTTTTTCCTTGTTCCTTCCTTCCTTTCCCCTTCCCCCTCCCTTGTTCCCCATCTGAACATATTCTTCCCATTTCCCATTACCTATAATACATTTTGGTCCTTATTTACACTTTTGGTTTTTCACAGCAGAGAAACCATGCCGTATTTCAACATGTGTATGCAATTTATTTCACTTAAGAGTATGGTGCATCTCAAGGTGCATCCATTTACCTAGAAGAGTCTCAGCTTATCGTCTTTATGGTAGAGTAGTTCTCCATTGTGTAAAGTAAGTCACATCTGCTTTATCCATTCATTGGTTGATGGGCATTTGGGCTATTACAAGCTGCTGCGATAAACATGGGGGTGCATGTTTATGCAGTGTGATATGATGCTTTAATTCTTTCAGAAAGAAACCAAGAAAGGGAGCAGCTGGGTCAAATAGAACCTTTAGTTGCAGGTTTTTTTTTCCCCAAATCAGATTTTATTGGTACATTTTAGATATACATAGTGATCACATTCATAATAGAGAATTTGTACCTGTACAGGATATAACTTGATCCTTTTTTCCCATCCCCTACCCTCTCTTCAACTACTCCTCCCCCTTTGCAAAAGCTTTGTCTCAACTTTTTCCTTCTTTTCTCATTTTTTAAACTTTTCCCTTCTTTCCTTTCCCCTTCTCCCCTCACTAGTGCAACCACTGTAGAAATCAGTGTGGAGATTTCTCAAAATCTAGGACTACAGATTGCATTTGACCCAGTTATTCCCTGCCTTGGTATGTTCCCCCCAAAATAAAGGATTCCTGATGATATATGCACATCCATGTTTATAACGGCACAGTTTGTAATAGCCAAATCTTGGAAACAGCCCAAATGCCCATCAACTGATACACATCTGATAAAGATGTGATTTTTTTTTTTATACAATGGACTACTACTCTTCCATAAAGAAGGATAAGCTCGAGATATTTCTTGGTAAATGGATGCACCATGAAATCATACTCTTAAGTGAAATAAATTGGACACACATGTGTAAATACCACGTTGTTTCCCCGTTGTGAGAAACCAAAAGTGTAAATAAGGACCAAAATATATAATAGGTATTGAGAAATAGGAGGACAATAATAAATGTTTTATTGTTCCAACAGAGAAGAAAAATTCAAATGCATATCATTTTATACAATACTAATGCTCTTGACATGTTATATATGATTAAATATATTTGTAAATCAATATATATTTCAATAACATTTTCACCTCCTGTTTGGTTTTCAGTTTTGTGTTTTATAAAAAGTCATTGAATCATGAATTGGTTTCCATTAAAACTCAGGTCATAAAATGACAGTGAGTCAAAAATGAGGTGAAGACTCAGGAAAAAGATAGTGTAAGAATGATAAAAAGTGCTTCTGTAAGAGAATGAATAGAGTAGGTCATATATCATAATTGAAAGGTGCACTATTTTCTCCGTCATGTTTGAATGTTTTCATATATTATAATTTCTCTTTATTACTCTTCCTTCTTTCCTCCTCCAACAACAGCTCTTCTTCCCTTGACAATTTTTTGATGGTCTTACAGGTTTTCTTTTTTATGTGTATTTTTGTAACACGTAGTAGTTATCCCAGGACCTTGACAAATTTTTACTTGACCTTCAAACTTAAGCTCCTCCATACTGCTAACATAATGCTTAAATTACTGACTATATACTACAATTTCTTTGAATGTAAGTTATATATTCCCTCTTTTAGAGCACCACAAAAATAAGAATTTAGTAGAATTTATTTCTAGAATCTAGCACAGTGTCTGGCATACAGAATGTGTTTTATGAGGGTTTATTGAATGACTTAATCAGTCATTCTGTGGGAGTGGTCACTTGCCTGGGAAAAATATTGGATAGATATTAACAAAGATGAAAAGTAATTTCTTAAAAAGCCATTGAAGCCAGGGATGGTTGAAAATGCCTGTAGTCCCAACTGATCCAGAAGCTGAAGCAGGAGGATCACTTAAACCACGAATTAGAGATTAGCCTTGTTAACATAGTGAGACTCCATCTAAAAAAAATGTTTAAAACAGCCCTGGATTTAACATTTGAGGGTTGTTGCTAACAACCTTTCAGATATTGTTCTAAGACTGAGATGGAGACACAAACCAGACTGCAAAATTACATTCAAGGAATGAGTAATAAATGCAGTACAACAATGAATGAATTATATAAATCATTTAAACGTTTTAATACTATTTTATAAATTCATAGAAAAATTCTGGAGGCATCTGATCAACACTTTGGCTAATAGGAATCAACACTTTGGCTAACAGTGATCAACACTTTGGCTAACTTTTACCTATATTTTTAGTCTACTATAATTAGTTGCCAAATTTATTTTAAAAGTCATTAGAATTGTTAATTTCCATACCACAGTAACATTATGCCTATTTTGAAGGGTTTTTTTTTTTTTCCTCTAAGTTGATTCAAACAAATTACTTCAAGTTATTTTACTGATGGATCTCAATATGAGCTCAGGGCTTCAGGTTCCCCTATACATATACACCTGACACTTTCTTTTCATATCTATGTTCTGGAATGACCCAATCCTAGTGTATGGGACTTCGCCCCAAGGTGCCATGAGGCTGAAGCAACAGATGCAGATAGATCCAGGATTGGGCAGACTGCATTTTATTGAGGGATTTACTGACATAGCATGGCCCTAGGCAGCAACAATACCGGTTGGATCCCTGCGATCTGGGTCAGAAGGAGTGTACTAGGGGTTATGGCAAAACTACATACTAGCTGAAATGTACCTGTTTAAACTAATATCAAAGTGTTGAGTACATTTGTAGCACTTCATAAGGCCCCCCAAACCACTTTAACAATTTTATCTCATTACAGTAGCTGGGAAACTATTCAAGAAAACAGACTAAACTTACGCTTGGACAGTGATGGCAGTTATGACTCAAGATGGTTACCATCATGTCAAACTGAATTCATACATTCTGCTTCTCATAGCCAGATCCTATGCTTTTACAGTTTTCCACTTCCTCCTTGTGCCCTGATATGCCTTGATGTGCAGTGTGTATGTGGTGTGGTGTGAGGCCACTTATTCAACTTGTAAGTAGAATAAATAGTAGCAATAAGAGTACATATACTAAGACAGAGAATAGTTATTCAAATGAAAATAATCAATTATCCCAAGCAATAGCCAAGGCTCCAAATTAATGATTTAGTGTCTCTCCTATAGAAGAGACAAAATCCAACAAGGCATTAATATGGATTTCTACAGTTTCCAGGGATAACAGCAAAACTAGCAAGACTGTTGCTGTGGATGAAAAAACTAAATGTTTCATGGGGACTTATAATATAAATCTGTACCATCCAGCAAGAGAATACTGGTGGTATCCTGTCTGTTAGATAACATGGCAGCAACAGCTAGGGACTGATGTAGTGAAACATACCACATTCACTGGCCAACAAAATCAGTTCCACAAGTGATTCCTAATATTAATGGTTAAATGGCATGCCAGGCTAGGATGCTGATTGTATTATCTCAAGGTATTTTCTTTAGGCCACTTGGGGCATAAGCCAGTCACAGGTCCACAGTCCAACATGATCCATGGAGACCGAGGTAGGAGAACTGGAAACTCCTCACACTATAGCAATAAATATCTGACTCATCTAGGGAGAAGAAGCCATTTGAAACTCCACAGAATTGTCCCCTCCCTTGGACTGAATGCTTGCTATGTTTGAAATGTATCAATTCTAACAGTAAAGCATCTGGATGGACAGCTTTGACATAGGCCTTGGGGACAGAGGCCAGAGCCCCTAGGTGCTTATAAGGGGCAGACATGTCAGCCAACTGTATGTACATTTAAATTTATTAACACCTCTCCAAGGATGTCAGCCCATCTGGCAAAGGTGGGTTTGCCTAATAGGACCCATATCTGTTGCTTTAATAATGCATTTTTCTCTCTACCAAGCCCACTGCCAGAAGGTTATATGGCAGATACAAAAGCTTACTTGAGGCCAGTAAAACATTGTTGTACTTGCTTTTGTGCTATTCACAGTGTAAGGTCTACAGTGCCAAACTGTCGGTACAAACAACCAGAAACCATGGCTCATGAATTACTACCAGCCACATCACCCATACCTCTTCCCATTGGCCATTCTGACTTTCTCTCATCTCAGTCCAGATAGTATCAGGGTCAGGCTGTGTTTCCAGACATGTGGGTTCTCCCTGATGGCTTCATCTGTATATGAAGCATTTTGAGATATATCCTACTTGTGAGACCTTAGCTCATACTTATGAGATCATAGGTATGGTAACCAGACATAATGCTGTCTACAACTTTGGAGCCAGTGAACTGTCAGAGAGAGCATGACATTATTGTAAATACACATGTCACTTACTTAGAGCTGGAGTTCTGTGCTACAGTGTATTGAGGCCAATGAAATAGGCTGTCTACTTATATCTTTATAAATAGGCCAGTTCTCAATATGACAAGTTTTGGTCAGTCTTTATCTGTCATAAGGCATT